ATTCTATTCTATTCTATTCTATTCTATTCTATTCTATTCTATTCTATTCTATTCTATTCTATTCTATTCTATTCTATTCTTCATACCAATATTCTATTCTATTCTATTCTATTCTATTCTATTCTATTCTATTCTATTCTATTCTATTCTATTCTATTCTATTCTATATTCCATTTTATTCTTCATACCAATATTATATTATATTCTATATTCCATTCTATTCTTCATACCAATATTCTATTCTATTCTATTCTATTCTATTCTATTCTATTCTATTCTATTCTATTCTATTCTATTCTATTCTATTCTATTTTCCATTCTATTCTTCATCCCACTATTCTGTTCTATTCTATTCTATTCTATTCTATTCTATTCTATTCTATTCTATTCTATTCTATTCTATTCTATTCTAGTCTAGTCTAGTCTAGTCTACTCTACTCTACTCTACTCTAGCCTAGCCTAGCCTAGCCTAGCCTAGCCTAGCCTAGCCTAGCCTAGCCTAGCCTAGCCTAGCCTACTAGCCTAGTCTAATGATAGCAGTCTTCCAAACTTTGGGTTGCTGTCAAAAAGAAGAGGGGGTCCAATTATTCCCCAAGGCACCTGAAGGCAGGACAAGAAATTAGATGGAAACCCATCAATGAGAGATTCCTTCTGGAATTAAGGAGAAATTTACTGGCAGTGAGAACAATTAACCAGTGGAATGGCTTGCCTTCAGAAGTTGTGAGTGCCCCCCACCAGATTAGCTAAAATGAATCTCCAATATGCTGGAAATGTTCGAAAGAATAGGGCACCTACTATCGTATGTGGTGGGAGTGCAAGAAAATGCAAGATTTTTGGCAAAAAATTCAGCAATGGTTAGAGGAAATGTTAAACTTAAAAATAAATTATACACCAGAAATTTAGCAAATGAGAATCTTAAAAAAAGCAGATTTATATCTAATTATTCATGTTATCACAGCTGCAAGATTATCAATTGCCCAAACATGGAAACTGAAAGAAATACCTAGTGATGAAGTAATAATTAAAAAACTTCTACATTGCGCCGAGTTAGATAGCTTAACGTTCAAACTGAAGGAATGAGATACTTCAGAATTTTATGAAATATGGAAAAAAAATTATAATTGGAGGGATATGAAACGAAGTAAAAAAAATGAAATAGAAATTCAAGAAAGAGTTTATACCGCAATAAAATGTCTAAGAAACGAATATAAAGATTTACAATGTAAAGATGTATATATATGTATACATGTAAATATATATGTGTGTGTGTGTGTGTGATATATCGTTTGATGACATTCTGCTACTATAACAATGTAAAGATTGCTGATACATGTCAAAAAATCACCACGTTCAAATGTTTTTAAAACTTAATTATCAATAAAAAATTATAAAAAAAAGAAGTTGTGGCTGCCCTATCACAGGAGGCTTTCAAGAAGAGACTGGAGAGCCATTTGTCTGAAAAAGTATAGACGTCCTCCTGCTCGAGCAAGGGGCTGGACTAGATGGCCTCCAAGATCCTTCCCAACTCTGTTATTCTATGTTCTGTATTTTATGTTCTATCTTCAGTCTCAATCTTGGCAGCCTTGATGCTGTGTGAACTGCAACTCCCAAAATACCCTAGCCACCATATCTTCTGGGAGTTGAAGTTCAGGCGTCTTCAAGCTGCCAAAGCATTGAGAAATGCTGATCTGGACAAAAGGATACAGAGGGAAGGGACCGTAGGAAGATGGTGAGAAACTTGTTTTCTATGGCTGTGTCAGGAAGTAGGACCAGGAAAAAAAAAATGAGTGTAAGTTGTAGCTACCTAGATTTTGTTGAAATCGCATAGTACCATCTATAGTGCTTATAATGGTGGGATTCACTTAACTGCATGAAAATGATTTGCTTACATTTGTGGATGACATGGTATTTATCATAGAAGAACCAATAGATTCGGGACCAGCATTATTAAATGAAATAGACGAATTTGGTAAATTGGCAGGATTTAAAATTAATAGGGAAAAGACCAAAAAGCTAGTTAAAAACCTAATAAACAGTAAGCAAAAAGAACTAGAGGAAACGATGGGATTACAAATCGTGAATAAGATTAAATATCTAGGCATTTGGTTAAGACTTAGAACATTATCCCTGAGGGAGGACAATTATACCAAATTATTACAACAAATTGGAAAGGATTTGGAAAAGTGGAACAAAATGCAAATTTCACTATTAGGTAGAATAGCAACGATTAAGATGAACGTCCTACCCAAAATCTGGTATTTATTTCAAACAATTCCGGTACTATTGGGCAATTTTTTTTTTTTAAAGAAGTGGACAAAATTGTTATGAAATTCATTTGGGCAGGGAAAAAAAACAAGAATAAAAGAAATCTATTTACAAGACAATAAAAGCAGAAGTGGCCTTGGTCTCCCTGCCTGGGAGACCTACTACAACGCAACGGCACTAGTGTGGATAAAAGACTGGATTAAATTGGAAAACAAAAGAATTTTAACACTCGAGGGCCATGATTTGAAAATAGGATGGCACGCATTTTTGTGGAACCCAAATAATAAAAGTCATTCATATTTCTCCAGACATACTTTATGCAAATCTTTGATTAAAATCTGGATAGATATTAGAAGAAACCATTATACTAAGATCCCGAGGTAGCTTTCAACAATGAAGGCGATGTTCCATCCTAACATGATGGCCATTAGCAAAAAGCTTAAATACCACCAAATACTAGATAATGAGGGAGCACTTAAATTGATTCAGGCGCTAAAAATCCAAGGAATAATTATTGACAACTGGTCCTACTTTCTAATAAAAAGGAGACATATTAGGGACGCAAAAGAACACGGATTTGAAACAAAAGATAATTAGACAAAATACTCCTGGGCCTGGAGAAAAATAGGATATCCAAATTGTATAATTTTTTACTAGAGTATGAATTAGCTGAGGAAATTGTGAAAGGACCAATGTTAGCTTAGGCAAAAAACTTTGGTTATAATATAGATTTGGACGATTGGGAGGAAATTTGGCAAAAAAATCTTACATTTACAAAATCAATACCATATAAGGAAAATTAATATAAAATGATATATAGATGGCATCTGGCAGCTTCTATATTAGCTAAAATATATCCAACAGCAAATCCAAGCTGTTGGAAATGCAAAGAGAAACTTGGTGCCTATTTCTATGTTTGGTGGACATGCCCTGAGATTAAAAAATATTGGACAAGGATAAGAATATGGATAGAAGAAATAATTGAATGTGGATTGGAGTGGAAACCAGAACTGTTCCTCCTGGGAATGATTAAAGGGAAATACCCTCCCAAAGTGAGATATCTGATCATCCACTTATTAACAGCGGCCCGAATTTCTTTAGTGCAATATTGGAAAAGGCCCGATGTACCACCGATACACATTATTATTCAAAAAAGCTACGAATGCGCTGAAATGGAGAGGCTCATGCTCAAATTAAATGGGAAGGAAGAGTCAGAGTATTATTTGGTTTGGGATAAGTGGTACAGCTGGGTAGAACACAAGAAAAAAGGTATACAGGATAAATGAACCCAGGACACATACTATAGTTGTATATATTGAATGTATAATAATAACGATTTCAAGCTTCTTGTCTATTATGTAAATATTATGAAGGCTCCATTCGATTAACCAATACAGTTATAATCCAATAGCAATAGCAGAATAATATATTATTTATTAATTAATAGGTAATTAATAAGGGATAAGGAATACTTGACAATGATTACTTACTACTGTTTACTATGAGCTATCAATCTTAATTTCAAATGTAATAGAAAGAAATACATTTATTGTTCTATTTATATTCTTTTTATTCTTACATATTTGTATGTTTGTTTGTGTTTTAATCTTTTGTAAATCAAGTCTATTTTAAAACTAAAAAAAAGAAAGAAAGAAAATGATTTGCTTAGCAACCATGGCAAACAAGGTCATAAAATCAGGTGCAACTGACTTAATGACCCCCTTGTTTAGCAATGGGAATTCTGGTCCCAACTGTGGGGCTGCTGTACCTCTGGATATTCTATCTCCACCTGGAAGAATGCCCCGGTCTTCTGGGGGAAGGGATGCCTTTGAGCCAGTCTTGACTCCAGGCGACTATCTGGACTAGTGTCATACCCCTGGTGGAGTCTGATTCTAAGGGAGAGGAGGAACAGCCAACAGGGAGTGGAAGTGCGGCTCCGGAGGTGGTGGAGGAGGCTGGGGAAGGGCAGAGGCCGGCTGGGCATTCAGAGGAGGACCCAGGCCCATCCCCTCTCCATCCTAGGGCACGCAGGGAGGAGAGGATAAGGGAGAGATGTGGCTTATGGGAGAGGAAGCGGTCATGATCCCCCTCATTGGCTGCAGCTGGGGCAGAATGGTATAAAGGAGGGGCGTTTAAAACTCAGCGTTGCTAGAAGCAAAGAGTATTTTATTTCTGGCTGAGGTTTATCTTGGTTGGCGTTCTTCCAATGGACTGTGCCTTGTTATCTTCTTGAAGTTTGTAATTACTTATCCTGCTCTGTCGCGGAAATTCCTTCAGTGCAGTTTGTTTGGGTTTTTTTATTTCTCCGTTATCTGTTCTTTGAGTTTGGACTGTATTTCTTTCTTTTGGAGACTACTTTGGAAAGAGTTTAATCTCCAACTGCAAACAATTGAACAGTGGGGCCAAGTTGGAGGGATTCAAGGAAATTTATTTACGTTTGGGAATTTATTACACGTGTGCTGCTTCCCGGTCATCACGACTAATTCCTGCAGTTTTCTTGGCATTTTTCTGACTGCCATAGCCTCCTTCTGAGGGCTGGGAGAGAATGACCAGCCCAAGATCATGCAGCTGCTTTCTCTGCAAAGCAGGACTAGAACTCAGGGTGTGTTGATTTTTAGTGCTGGTGTCCTCACCACTGCACCACTGTCTTACTTTTGTCAATTGCCCAAACTGTCAGCTGCCCATCTTCGCTTTCTTTGAAGCTTGCTATCAACCGCCCTAACCAAGGGGAAGGGGGCATTTTGGAGGGGAAATGTGCTGGAGGTTTGAAATAACGCTGTGGGAAATTTGGGGAGTACAGGAACCAGAGGTGCCAGACTGAGCCATCTTCCTGCCTTCAAGGACATCCACCCTGGGAAAGGAATTTACAATGGCACCTGACACACCGGGTTCCCAAAACATTGGACTGGAACCTGATTGGATTATTCCCAAAGAGGGGAGGGATTTGGACACTGGGGATTGCTTTCAATATATGATTTTCGCACGGATTTTCCTCGCTGGTGCTGTGCCCAGTTCCCTAGTAAACTGGTATTCTCTAATACCAATGAAGTCAAGGGTTGTCCTTTCCGAGGATCAAAACTGGGACCAGTCTGAATTTCTTCAGGTAGACAGCAGGACTTCTATTCTCTGTCCGGAGTTCAGGGGGTCTCCAAACTTGGGAACTTTAAGACTTCTGGACTTCAACTCTCAGTTCTGTGTGTTGAAGTCCAGAAGTCTTCAAGTGTCCAAGGTTGGAGACCCCTGCTCAAAGTTCCCAAAGTTGGAGACCCCTGCTGAAGGAATTCTGGCAGCTGAAATCCACAAGTCTTAAAGTTCCCAAGATTGGAGAGCCCTCCTCAAGATTACATCCTGCCTTACTTTTAAAATTATTTTTTCGTATCCTGTTCCTATCCTTTAATGCAGGGGTCCCCAACCTTGGCAACTTTCAGCCTGGAGGATTTCAACTCCCAGAATTCCCCAGCCAGCAGAATTCTCCAGCAAAGCTGGCTGGGGAATTCTGGGAGTTGAAGTCCTCCAGGCTGAAAGTTGCCAAGGTTGGAGACCCCTGCTTTAATGGATAGAGCATTCATCAAGTCACTGTCCCCTTCTCCGAGTTGAAACAGCACAGCCTAGAAATACGATTTGCCATTTTCCTTCCCTGTAATAGTTACTAGAGCCATGTTAGATCTTGAGCAGCGTCGAGAAGAAAACTTACCTATAAAGAAGAAAGACAAGAAGAGAACAATTCTGAGTAGCTGGAGGCTCATGTTGTCTCATGCGGTGAAGATATTCTGCCTGCTGTGGACTTCAGCTGCACCATCGGGTCCAGTTGTGGAGAGAACTTGGCCAATGAGGGTTTATTCTCAAAACTCGCCTAAGATCAGAAGAGGCTGCTTTGAGAAGTCCAGCCAGTTCTGAATGAGCAACCCCGCCCTTTCACAATCTATCTTGCCACTCCCCCTCTCTGCTTCTAGTTCCTTTTTTTCTTCTACTTTTCACTTTATCTTTTCCTGTTTGATGTTCCCTTTTCTGGCTATTCTCTATTATTATTATTATTATTGACAAAAATTTCTGTGCCTTCCATTTGGACACCCAATTTACAAGACTGGAAGAAAAAGTTACAGGTAGAAACAAAAAAAAATGGTGAAGACTGCTCTGCATAAATTGGGTTAGAGTAGCTGCATCTGAATGAGATCAGATTATCCAAGGTGGTAAGAACCTCCTTCTTCTCTAGAAAAGAGATTATACAGATTAACAGAGTTGGAAGGGACTTTGTAGGTCATCTAGTCCAACCCCATGCCCAAGCAGGAACTACACCATTTCTGACAGGTGGCAGTCCAGTCTCTTCTTGAAAGCCTCCAGTGATGAAGCTCCCACAACTTCTGAAGGCAACTTCTGTTCCATGGGTTGATTATGCTCACTGTCAGGAAATTTAAATTTTCTCCTTAAAATTTCTCCTAAATTGGTCCTCCTGCAAAAAAAAATGGGCTTAAGAAATCCTGACCACAAATAATCTTGCCCCAAGGAAGAGGGGGTCAAATTATTGTCCAATGCACCAGAGGGCAGGAAAAGAATCAGTGGATGGAAACTTTTCAAAGAGATCCAATCTAGAACTAAGGAGAAATTATCTGACAGTGAGGACAATCAACGAGTGGAATGGCTTGCCTTCAGAAGTTGTGGGTACTCCGTCACTGGAGGCTTTTAAGAAGAGCCTGGACAACCATTTGTCTGGAATGGTATAGCATCTCCTGCTTGAGCAGGGGGTTGGACTAGAAGACCTCCAAGGTCCCTTCCAATCTTGTTAGTCTGTGTGTTCTGTATTATTGCCTATCAAATTGCAAAACGAACCAAATATCTGCTCTTCCCCATCTACATTTATTTATGTATTTATTTATTTGATTTGTCAATTGTTTACAAGATAATAAGTATAAGTGTATACATAGTTATGAATACATGAAATGGGTACATATAAGAAAAATAAAAGAAAAATAAAAGAAACAATAGGACAGGGACGGTAGGCAGGTTGGTGCGCTTATGCACGCCCCCTAGAGACCTCTTAGGAAAGGGGTGAGGTCAATAGTAGACAGTCTAAGGTTAAAGTTTTTGGGGTTTGGGGAAGAAACTACAGAGTCGGGTAGAGTATTCCAGACATTGACCACTCTATTGCTGAAGTCGTATTTCCTGCAATCAAGTTTGGTGCGGTTAACCTTGAGTTTGTATCTATTGTGTGCTCTTGTGTTGTTATGGTTGAAACTGAAGTATTCATTGACAGGTAGGACATTGCAATGTATGATTTTATATACCATACTTAAATCGGACCGAAGACAGCGTAATTCAAGGTTTTCTAGGTCTAGAATTTCAAGTCTGGTGGCATAAGGTATTCTACAACGAGTAGAGGAGTGGAGAACTCTTCTTGTGAAATATTTCTGGACTTTCTCAATTGTGCTAATATCAGATACGTAATGTGGGTTCCAGACTGATGAGCTGTATTCGAGTATTGGTCTAGCAAATTGTTTCCTTCTTATTTTGTTTCCTCCTTATTTTGATAAGAAGGAAGAGGCATTATTTTCTATCGTGTTTCAGTACAAAAGGATTGTGCATTGTTCAACCTCACGCATGAAATAAAAACCTAGCTCTTTTTCCAAGATTTGCATTTTCTAACATTTTCCAACATATTTAACAGTGGAAAATACATATGTTACGACAAAGTTTGTCTAAAAATTCGCAAAGTATATTCTCAAGTTCAACAAAGTGAACTGGTCAGGTTGATAAAAATAGAAAAACAGATGGAAGAGAAATGAAAGGATGTATACTTTTGATTAAATATCTGCTGCTTAATCTACTTCCAATTTTCTTTGTTTCTGGCTGTAAATATTTCTCTAAACGTTTCCTCCCTCCACATGGGTTAATGTGTTTTTTTTAGTATGTACTCCTTTGTACTTCCGGAAATAATATGCACACCAGGGTACATTTACTGTAATTTGATTTTACCACCTCAGAGCTCCTTTTAAAGAGAAAATGCAAAAAAACCAAACCCCACCCTTAACCATCAAACCCTAGTTTATTGACCCAATTTTCCATACAATTATTTATCTTTCCTTTCATTTCCTCTTACCATACTTTACTTTCTGAAGGTTTGCACTTTGTTTTTATCTCATTGCTAGCATTGTGTTCTGGAGTTGTTATAAATAATAGATAAATAGATAGATAAACCAAGGCCAGAAATTCATTCTATTAAATGAAGGAATGGTCCATTCATTTAATAGGAATGGACCATATTTCCATCTTACAGGAGAATCAGAACACATCCTTGCAATCAAATCCCCAATTCTCTTGAATTTTGCAGAGCAATTTGCAAATCAGAGAAGAGTCTACTTTTTCATAATCTATTTATTTAAACCTTTTCAGGACACTTAAAAAAAAAAAAGATAAATTGCCAAACCACTGATTAAGAGCAAAACTGTCAGGTTACAAAAAACAACCTTGAAAAAACTCTCACCTTATGAATAGTAGGTATATTTATCACCTTGAGTTATATATTAAAAAGGTGGAACAAAAGTATTATAATAATGCACATAGCAATCTTTTAAAACTGTTTGGCGTGCTTAACTACAGCAGCACAGTACTTTCCCATACCAGTGAACAGTACAGCTGCCTCAGCTTGCTTAACACACTCAGACCCAACTGCGAACTGCACTGGTTCCTGACTTCGGTTCATCAAGCATTTTCTTTCCCGGGCACTAAAAAGGCTCGATTTTTAAAAACAGCAAGCAAAATCATTTTTAAGCATGGAATTCCACCCTGAATCCTGTCCTAGTGTCCATTTTTGCACTTGGGTTCAAAAAAATTTGCCCGCTCCCAGGGGTGGGATTCAATTTTTTTAACAACCGGTTCTGTGGGCGTGGCTTAATTGGTGGGTGTGGCTTGGTGGTCATGTGACTGGTAGACGTGGCTTGGTGGTCATGTTATCGGCTGGGTGCGGCCAACTCAATATCACTCACATCGAGGCACGCATCTCCTTGCCTGGCCTCTCATGACTGAGGGGATGCTGCAACAGTCGTAAGTGTGAAAAAGGGTCATAAGTCACTTTTTTCAGTGCCATTGTAACTTTGAATGGTCACTCCACACAAGCAAAGTACCAGCAAAGGAGGGGAAAAAAACTCCAGAGAAGTTCCTGAGACAGGAAGTCTAGTCCTGCCAAGAATGTAATAAGGGTTAACGGAGAGGCAGTTTCTGTAAGCAACACCAGAATGTTTCCTTCCTGCCTTCCTTACAGGATTAGCCCAGTAATTTCTTCTAACAACCGATTCTCCAAACTGCTTAGAATGTTAATAACCTGTTCTAGCGAATAGGTGCGAACTGGTAGAATCCCACCCCTGCCCCCTCCCCTCCTGGGCACCAGTTTTCCTGACTTGGGTTCAAAATACTCAGCTGTATGTCTCGGCCTGTGGTGAGTGAAGTGTTGCTGTGTCCTCCCTCTTGCAGTGCCTGGAAGCTATTAGGGGCTGGATGGGGAGCAACGGGTTGAAACTAAACCCTTGCAAGATTGAGTGGCTCCGGGTTTGGGGTTCATTGGCTCAGGGAGAATTGCCACCTTTGGTCTTGGATGGGGTGGCACTACCCCCAAACAGACCCTGTGCGTAATCTAAGGGTTTTCCTGGACTCATGACTCCTGTTCGAAGAGCAGGTGGAGGTCATGACCAGGAGGGCCTTTGCGCAGCTATGGGTTGTGCACCAGTTACGCCCTTTCCTGGACCAACGGTCCCTACTCACAGTTATTGATGCCCTAGTCTTGATTATTGCAACGTGCTCTACATGGGACTGCCCTTGAAGAGCATCTGGAAGCTCCATTAGGAGCAAAATGCAGCGGCCTGCATGCTTTTGTGCAGCCCCCCGATGCACATGCATCACCTCTCCTGCGGGAGCTGCATTGGTTGCTGATTTGCTTCCGGGTGCAATTCAAGGTGCTGGTTGTCTCCTTTAAAGCCCTTCATGGCTTGGGACCAGGTGATCTGAGAGACTGTCTCTTGCCGGTCCCATCTACCCAACCCATCAGAGTGGGGGAGGCAGGGAATGATGGTGGGTCCCATCCCTGAGGGAGATACACCTGGTGGGACCCAGAAGAAGGGCCTTCTCCGTGGTGGCTCCCTCTCTCTGGAACCTCATTCCCCCAGAGATTAGAATGGCCTCCTCGCTAATATTCCTCCGGAAGGCACTTAAAGACCTGGTTCTGCCAGCGGGCCTGGGGAACCCAGAGTGGGATGGAGCCCATGAAATAGCTCGTGTGTGGTGCTGTCGTCAGGGCGGAGGGTAGGAGTTGGGGGTGTGATCTTTTTACCTCAGATTTTGTTCTATTGTACTTTATTAATTGATTTTATTCTTTTTTATTTTAAATATGGTTTTACATTGTGTAAGCCACCTCGAGTCACCATGGGCAAATAGGCGGCAATATAAATTCAATAAATAGATAAATCTGCAGATATATATTTTTTTGCACAATGTTATTTGTTATTTTGCAAGAAGTTGGTCAGAAGCAAGTTAACCGAGTCACCCATCAGTTTTTCCAGCTTTCTTTTGACACACTTCTCACTTAACTTTTCTGCTTTTGTGTGATTTGCATCACTGATTGTTGTTGGCCTCTTTAAGGGGGAACCATGACCCGATTAAGCTGTTTCCTGTCATTTTGGACGCCTCCTCCGGTGATTCCAGTACCTAAAGGCATCTCCTGATCAAGCTGGCTATCCAAATATATATCACAGCACACTTCAATGTGGGATAGACAGCATCCCCACCAGATGGATTAACAGATTAACAGAGTTGGAAGGG